TTACAATTGATTTTCACTGGTATATTCTTTGGCTTTTTGTTATATTCATATTATTTGCTAATGCAGGTCTTGAGAAAGCTTGTTGATGATGCATCGAAATTTTTGAGTGACAAAGTCACAAAAGCTGTTGTTACTGTTCCTGCATACTTTAATGATTCTCAAAGAACAGCCACTAAGGATGCTGGTCGCATTGCTGGACTAGAGGTTCTCCGTATTATAAATGAGCCCACAGCTGCTGCTCTGGCATATGGGTTTGAAAAGAAAAACAATGAGACTATTTTGGTGTTTGACCTTGGAGGTGGAACGTTTGATGTATCAGGTATCAATTTCACCTTTTTCCCTAGTTAACTTCCACATCTAGTTTGGTTGGTTGTTGATCTATGGTTTTCTTTTACTCTTTCTGGGCCTTATTGTAAGGCACAGTTTGTCAAATTACTCAAATCAAGAGAAGTTGTTAATTTTTTCAATTTTTTTTAAAAAACATTTCTCCAGCCTTTTATACATTTCTTTTTTGTCTGTCCCAAAACATTTTTCACTCCCCTTTTAAGGAAACAATTTTTTGTCTTCTTCTAAATACACCTCAACCACACACTCTTCCAATTTCATACACTATCTTTGTTTCAGGGAATTTGAAAGGAAAGAAAAATTCCAAGGATTGTAGAAAATCAAATCAACCAAAAAAATCAATCTTGTTTGGTTAATAGGGGACTTGGTCAGGAAACCACTATTTAATACTCATATTTGTTTTTTTCTTTTGGTTGTTTTAGAGAAAATGAAATAAGACATGTTTGAGAGGGAGAGGGGTGGGGGTATCTGTTGGGGAGGGGGGAAATAATTTTCTCACAAAAATGGAAGAAAGACCACTTTTCTACTTTTTACTGTACATTCTCCTTTCCTTTTCTTTTCCTTCCTACTTTCTTTTCTTTTCTAACCAAACACCAAAATCGTTTTTTCCTTTCCAGTATGTTTTTTCTCTCTTCCGGATTCCTTGAACCAAACATAATGTTAATCTCCATACTCAATCAAGTTGGAAAAACCCAACAAGACAGGGACAATATGTTATTCTAATTTTACCATCTATTATCATTACTTTCAACATCTAAACAATAAGCATGACCTAAATATTTGTTGGGGAAAAACAACATAAAGACAGTTAATATTTAGTACTCCGTAGAAATAGACAATGGATTCGAAAGGATCATCTGGTCCTTTTAGATGGTGCCATATAATAAGATTCTGAGATACTTTCTATTTACATTGCTGATGTCATAGGTCACACTTGTGTAATATTGTGTTTCTTATGTATATAATAACCTTTTTCTCTACTCTGCAATAAAGTTCTCGAGGTGGGTGATGGTGTGTTTGATGTGTTGTCTCCTTCCGGACATACTCATCTTATTTTTGTTGCTGATGTCATAGGTCACATTTGTTTTATATTGTGTTTCTTATATCTATAATAACGTTTTTTCTCTACTCTGCAATAAAGTTCTCGAGGTGGGTGATGGTGTGTTTGAGGTGTTGTCTACTTCCGGAGATACTCATCTTGGCGGTGATGATTTTGATAAGGTTTGCCGTCATCTTCCTCCCTGCCCGAATGCATTTTTTTTCTCTTTATGATATGCCAGGAAACTTTATTGGTTGTAATAGCTGAAGTAATTTATTTGTCTCTTTTCATGTAGAGAATTGTTGATTGGCTTGCTTTAGATTTCAAGAGGAATGAAGGCATAGATCTGCTAAAGGACAAACAAGCTCTTCAGCGTTTGACGGAGACGGCTGAGAAGGCAAAGATGGAACTATCATCATTGACACAAGCAAACATCAGGTATTAACTTTTTGATGTCAATGGTTGCACTTGTTTGCATTTTTTGAAGTGTTTTTAAATTGAGATTTAGACATTGCTTTAACTTCAATTGGTTGAGCCAAGAATTGTAGAGGCATTGGGATTTGTACCACAAAGATAGATCATATATGTCATTTTTTAAATCTAAGATGTTGAACTTTGACCAACAATATGTGTTTTATAATGATTTGAGACTAATAAAAAAAATAAAAAACCTTTTTCTGCCAAGAATACTGTCATAAAAGTGTATACTCTTTAATTAATTATCTTGAGTGAACATTATGACTTTGACACGTTTGCTGTTAGTGGCTCTTTGACACCCACTGAATCACAAGTTTTAGGCTATTCCTAAGTCCTTTTTTGTTTATATTGATATTCTGTTTCCCCAGCTTGCCATTCATTACTGCCACTTCTGATGGTCCTAAACACATTGAAACCACACTGACTCGAGCTAAGTTTGAGGAGTTGTGCTCAGATTTGCTTGACAGGTATGCTGGATCGCATAAGCTGCTTTAAATTCCTTTCAGCTTAACAAGTAAATAATTCAATCATTTCCCTTTTGTTTTACCAGGCTCAAAACACCAGTGCAGAATTCGTTGAGAGATGCAAAACTTTCATTCAGTGATATTGATGAAGTGATCCTTGTTGGAGGCTCAACTCGCATTCCTGCTGTTCAGGAATTAGTGAAGAAAATGACCGGAAAGGACCCAAATGTTTCTGTAAATCCGGATGAAGTTGTTGCTCTTGGAGCTGCAGTTCAGGTTAGATATTTTTAAGCAGTGTTAGAGTCAATTGTTTTGCCTTTTGCGTATTATGTTTGTTAAGTTGAGCCTATCGCACCCTTATAGGATCTTCAGGAGATGATATTTTTGCTCATACTTGCATACTAGATTAGACTCAACTCAACAGACAACTGAGGTAGGATGCTCAAGTACTCAACACACCCTATGTCCAATTTAGGCAAGGTAACTGAGGGGGCATACAAATTGATCCTAACACATCCTAACACGCCTAATCAAACTATGTAGGGAGTGGTGCCGCGGTGGCCCATAAACCACTATTAGGTCAGGTTTTGATACTGTATTAAATTAGTCGTAACTCACCTCAAAGACGTCTCAAGAGGCTAGATTTATGCATACTTATACAATAAATTCATTCCAGCAACCAATGCAGATACTCAAACATTTTCATCTGTGATACCTAAAATCTAAATGCAAATAATACAGGCAGGAGTTTTGGCTGGGGATGTAAGTGATATTGTCCTTCTTGATGTGACCCCATTGTCCATTGGTTTAGAAACTCTTGGTGGTGTCATGACAAAGATCATCCCCAGAAACACAACATTGCCTACCTCAAAGTCAGAGGTGTTCTCTACTGCTGCAGATGGTCAAACGAGTGTAGAAATTAATGTCCTTCAAGGTGAACGAGAATTTGTGAGAGACAATAAATCTCTGGGCAGCTTCCGCCTAGATGGCATTCCTCCTGCACCACGTGGTGTTCCTCAGATTGAAGTAAAATTTGACATTGATGCAAATGGCATTCTCTCTGTCACTGCTGTTGACAAGGGCAGTGGGAAGAAGCAAGACATCACTATCACAGGCGCTAGCACATTGCCCACTGATGAGGTATGATTTAATTATTCCAAAAGCCAATTTGATACATGGAGCACATTAGCCTTATTGTTGTTTGATAATACTCTTCTATCGTTTTTGTTCACTTTAATATATATATATATAGGGATACACATTTGCCAGTGTTTGTGTGTTCATTAAAAAAAATAACACTAATTGGTAACAAGATTGTGTTTTTTCATTTCTTTGAAAATGTGTTTCCAATTTAATTCAGGTGGACAGGATGGTTAAAGAAGCGGAAAGATTTGCCCAAGAAGACAAAGAGAAGAGAGACGCCATAGACACAAAGAACCAGGCTGATTCTGTTGTTTACCAGACGGAAAAGCAGCTGAAGGAGCTGGGCGACAAAGTGCCGGGCGCAGTAAAAGAGAAAGTTGAGGCCAAACTTGGCGAGCTTAAGAGTGCCATCTCAGACGGAACAACTCAGGCCATCAAGGACGCCATGGCCGCCCTTAACCAGGAAGTCATGCAGCTCGGCCAGGCCATCTATAACCAGCCCGGCTCAACCCCTGGTGCTGGTTCCCCACCACCACCACCACCTGGCGGCCCATCTGAGAACGGAAGCAATGGTGATGTCATTGATGCAGATTTCACCGATAGCAAGTAAGACGGCGTCCCAGACATTTTTTTCATGCCATAATTCTCTTTTCAGCTTCTGAATTTTGAAAAAAAAAACTTATTTATAGCTGGGGTTGTTGAAGGGAGATGAACTGAATAGAGAGAGAGATATAGAGGTGTTATTTAGTTGCTCTTAATAGATCATTTGTCCACTCGATTTACCTCATTATGTGATGATTTTTACCTATGAGTTTATGAAATCAACATATTTGTCCATTAAATTATTATATTACGGCCACGTTTGGTTGTCAAAAAATGGTTTCTTCTGGTAACAAAAGAGTTGTACATCTAATGTGGGTTGCATGTATTAATACACAATGCCTTCTACCACTTCAGAAAAGGTTTTTGTTGATTTTTCGGAATCATAACTGAAACTTTTTTATCACAAAATTTTAAAAGAATATATTCAATAATAGCGAACGAGTAATAAAATATACTTCTTCTGTCCCATTTTAAATTGCTTATTAGCTTTTTTTTCTCTGTCGTAAAATAAGTTGTTTGTTACTTGTTTTCGTAAACTTTTAAGAGCAAAATGCTTAAACTACTCCTAAAATAAGTCACTCTTCTCCTCCTTATTTTCCGATTCATCGTCATTCTTCCTAAAAAGTAATGACAATTTCGAAAATTCAACTTTATTTTTTCTTTTCCTTAAATATATCCAAAAGTCAAAAGAGACGATTTAAAACATAACGAAGGAAGTAATTTGTAGTCTTGAAAATACAATTTTGATCTAATGTTTATGAGATATTATTATTTTTGTCCTAGTATATTTATCTACTTTGATTTTATGAGTCGAATTGGATAAATTTTAAGTTTCAATTATTTTAATTTTGTATAGTATATTTTTTATAATGAAATTTAAAATTTAAAAATTTTCAACAAAAAAGCAATTTTATACTAATAATAATCCAATTAAAGTTTAAATTTCATTTTGTTTAACTTAAAAAGTTGAACTAAACAAATACACTTCGACGAGAGATTATATGGCGTATAAATATAAACGTTAACGATCAAAATGTCTTGAAAAAATGAAAAAAAATCAAATAGAGACATTATTGTGAGATGTATTGAAAGACTAAAATCTCAAAAAACGTTTGCAGACATTTAGAAACTTCTCGCGACTGGTTTTATTATTTGTCTTCCTCCTCCATGACTCCTCTTCCTCATCTTCTTCACCTTGCACACCTTCTTCCAATGACAGGGGCACATGATCGTTCTGGTCGTGAACCCGACAATACCTGCCAAAATGTTCGACAAATTAATGTTAATCCAACAAAAAATATGATCTCACTTTGGATGTCACTCTCCGAACAATGCTAAATCTCGATCACAAAAATTATGAATTACACTGTTTAAACGTACATTAAAAAATTTACAGCAGGGACAACCATTTTGGAACAGAGGGTGTAATAATAATACTAATAAAAGAAATGTTACTAGATAGGAGTGAATTGTCATCAAAGTACTAAAATAAGAATGCATCCATAAAGCAATGTAAGTTGTGAGAGTGTGAACGTTGACCACCGGTCAACGGTGGTCAACGACCCACAACGGAGCTCCGACGACAGCACTCCGGTGAGTGTGGCGTGACAATATGAAAATGACAATGTGAACTATTATTTTAATATTTTTTTTTATCATTTTTTATTTATGCACCGCACCACGTACCTTTCGGAGGTGGAATGTCGTCTCGCGGAAAACTCCCTTGTGTTCGCATTCTTCTCGAATCTCAGCGTCTCCGACCCCATGGCGGCGTTGGAACGACGACTCTCCGAACTTAACTTCACGCCTTCTTCGTTCTTGACGACCATGTTTGCCTTGATGATCATGCTTTGATCATCATCGTAGTCGTCGTCGTCATCGTTGTTGTTGGATTGTTGGGAGTTGTTGTTGATGTGGGGGGAAATGATTTGGACATGTGACAAATCCATTGATCTTGATGATTTCTTCTTCTTCTTCTTCTTCATGATCTTCATCTTCCCACCACTTGTTGATTCCATCTTTACATAGCTGCTCATTTTTACTTCTCTGTACTTCCTTTCTTTAAGATCCCTCTTCCATGTGTGTCTTATATGACTCTTATTAATTAGTGTCTATATATACATATACTATGCATACATACGTATGTACATACATAGTCACGTATTATAATATTTTGCAACATATTTTACTTAGTACGGATACTAATACTCAAAATAGTACATTAGAGACCGTAAAAAAAGAAAGAGGAAAAAAATAATTGGAGAGAGGGAGGAAGTATTTGCTTACTAGAATTTTTAATTATAAAAAGTTAAATGGAATGGAATATTTGACAATGTTTATGAAAATACTTTAGCACATACATACTCTTAGAAATGATACCCAAAATGTGTGATTAAGATAATATTTTCTCTGCGTTCCAAAAAAAGATTTCTTATATTCTTTTTTGAGATGTCTAAAAAAATCTTTTTATGAAAATTTTTGAATGACTCATAATAATATTTTTCTCTCATCTATATTACTTTAAACTACACGTTTTTCTTTTCTCAGTCTTGCATCAAGTCATAGTGTAAACTTTTTTTTGGAGCATTGCAAATAAAAATATAAAAAGAAATAAAATAATGGGATTGAGGAAGTATTGTGTATATTATTAGACCAACCATGTGGTGATACATACTTTGTTGCAGGAATCACTATGCAATGCAAGTAAAAGAATATTAAAGAAATGAGAAATAATGGAATTGATATGGTGGAGTGCTTTGACTAAGTTAAGAATCATCATCATAATTCATATATATAGATTATAGGCATGCATATATAGTCCATATAATAGGGACATACTACCATTATTTGATACGGAGTGTTGACAAAATCTTTTTTTCCCTTTGGGTGAAATAATAGTGATATGGACTACGATCTTCGTCTTAAAATATTCTTCTCGTTTCGGTTTATGAGTCTGACTAATTTTAATTTTAATTTTATTTATTTATTTGATTGTACTTGTAAAAATTAAAAAATAAAATATAGGGTAAAATTTATGAGGGTTGGCTGACTTTATTTTTAATTCAATTTATTTGATTAGAGGTGTAAAATTAAAAAATAAAATTTATATATTTAAAAACTATATCAAAAAGTCTACAGAATAAGAGGTGACAAGCCTATATTATTTTATCAAATAACTAACGAAAATAAGTAAAGAAAGTAATTTAAGTTTGATCATGTGAATAGTAACTGAGAAAATACTTTTAGGACGGAGGGGGTATATTTGAAAACTATATCAAAAAATTTACAAAATAAAAGGTGACAAGACTATATTATATTCATATTTTTCTTCCTCTTTGTCTCAATTTAATCCTCTTTATTTCACATTTGGACTGTCCCAAATTAATCTTCCAATTTTTCTTCCTTGGAAAGCCTTTTGTAGCTCACATTTTTCTCTCTCTTTCTGCATCATTTTAAACCAAACAATTTCACTTTTCGTAAACTTCATGCAAAATCAAACTATGAGTATTATTTTGAGACAGAGAGTATAATTTTTCTATAAAGTTGAACCGAACTTGTAATTCGATATTCGGTGATGGCAAAAAGAGACCCTTATAGATAGGGAAATCACCAAGGTTCCCATGACATTGGGTTCCAATGTCATGGGAACCCCACCCTAGGGAAATATCTAATACTACACATTAACATCAATTTAATTCTACATAACAATTTAATTCAGTTCGATCGCAACTAAGGACCTGTTTGGGAATAGCGTTGGAGATTAGCGTTAACATTTTGGATAAAATTTTAACGGTGCAAACTATTTTGAAAATGATAATGGTAAACGTTGTCTGTAGATAGCCTTTTTTAAAACACTAATCACTAACGCTATTCCAAAACAAGACCTAATACTACATTTAACCAACATCAAAATTATCAATTATAAAATATTCCCACTTTGAATTTTCCTCGTTTTTAAGAGGAATTGACTAAAAGAGTAAATAGACAAAAATGCCCTCCACCCATCCCTACCCATCATACCCACTGGAACTCACTGGCCCAACACCCACCGCCGCTCCAGCACCCACCACTGCCGCCAACCCCACCGCCAGCCCACCCTCCACCACTACCGCAGATCTAACCGACCACCATCCGCTAGTCACAATCACATGCCTCTCTTAAATAGTACCACTGCCAATCCCACCTTCTCTACCAGCAGCCGGTCGCCGCCAGCCCCGCCACAACCGTCGGTCTGTCCCTCGCCGCCATCCCCCACCACCACGGCCAACCTCATCATCTCCACCAACACACACATCTCCGTCAGCTTCCACCACAACCGCCAGTCCCTCTATCGCTGTCATCCCCCTCCATCGCAGATCTGGAAGAAATCAAAGGCATACGAAGAAGGGAAGAAGAAGAAGAAGAAGAAGAAGAAGAGGCGGAAGGTGATTCTGTCACAAATTTGTTTAGATCTAGAAGAAAATGGAGGAAAAGAAAAAGAAGATGGTGATGAGAAGAAGAAGAGGGGGATCCGTATGGATCGGAGAAAGAGCAGGGGAAGAAGGAGGAGGAGGAAGATCGGTGAAAGAGAGAAGAAAAAGAATGGAAGAAACTAGGGAAAAAGTGAAAGAATGGAAGAAAAAAAAGAGAAGGAAAGAAGAGGAAGAGGGTAGTATTGGAAGAATGGTAAAAAATAAGTAGAATGGGAACATCATTCCCGGACGAAATAAAACGTAGAGTGGGAACATCATTCCCGGACGGAGGGAGTATATAACTATCAATACTATAAATATAGTTATCAAAATTAACAAATGCCATACAACAAATTTTTAATTATACAAAATGTCACAATGGTAGATAACTTAGCTTAATTAACCATGAAAGACGTATGAGGCGTGTCATTCTAATTAGCTTAAGGCTCCGTTCCGTTCAACTTATTTTTTCTGATCTGATCTGATTCTAATAAGTTCTGATCTGATCTGGTCTGATCTGATCTGATTGGATCTGATCTGATCTGATCTGATAGGATCTGATCTGATCTGATTGGATCTGATCTGATTGGATCTGATCTGATCTGGTCTGATCTGATTAATTATGATTTAATTTAAAATTTCAAATCAATAATTTAATTTGACTTTATAATAACGTTTGAAAATTGTAATGATAATTAATATTATAATATAATCAATATTTTTTTATTTAATGATTATTTTTTAATAAAATAAAAATAGTTAATTCATATATTAGAATAATCATTCATATTATAATGTAATAATATTTTTTATTTTATGATAATTTTTTTGTAAAATTAGAATTATACATTAGAATAAATATTTAATTTAGATATACATTTAAAAGTAATTAAATTTAGATAATCAATATATAGAAGAGATAGTATTTTTATTAAAATATCTCATCCTTATAAAAGATCAAAAGTTTAGAAACTCAAATTACAAGTAGCAATAAAAATATATTTTAAAAGTAGAATTAGATTGACATTGTCAATGTANATTATTTTTTAATAAAATAAAAATAGTTAATTCATATATTAGAATAATCATTCATATTATAATGTAATAATATTTTTTATTTTATGATAATTTTTTTGTAAAATTAGAATTATACATTAGAATAAATATTTAATTTAGATATACATTTAAAAGTAATTAAATTTAGATAATCAATATATAGAAGAGATAGTATTTTTATTAAAATATCTCATCCTTATAAAAGATCAAAAGTTTAGAAACTCAAATTACAAGTAGCAATAAAAATATATTTTAAAAGTAGAATTAGATTGACATTGTCAATGTATTTTAAAACTAATATTTCCGACGTCTAATAATTAAGGATTACTTTCTTAGCTTTTTATTTAACCTATTTCTAAAGTTTACTCTTTTTCATTTTTAAGAATAATAATAATAATAATAATAATGATGATGATGACGATGACGACGACGATGATGATCATAATAATAATAATAATAATAATAATAATAATATAATAATAATAATAATATAATAATACTAATAATAATAATAATTCTTGAAGAGATCTTATTTTAATAAGTCCTGATCTGATATGATCTGATCTGATTAGATCTGATCTGATCTGATAGGATCTGATCTGATCTGATTGGATCTGATCTGATCTGATAGGATCTGATCTGATCTGATTGGATCTGGTCTGATCTGATTCGATCTGATCTGATCTGGTCTGATCTGATTCGATCTGATCTGATCTGGTCTGATCTGATCTGATTTTAATAAGAATAAGAAAAAATAAGAAAAAATAAGTTGAACGGAACGGGGCCTAATTAGTGCTTCAAAACCGTTGTTATTTTATACTCCCTCCGTCCCCCATAGATCTTCCCATTTGCCCTTTTTATTTGTCCCACATAGATCTTCTCATTACCTTTTTTTATAATTAAAATACCACAACTACCCCCACTTACTTTATTTATTACACCTTTTTCCACTTTATTTAATACACTCCACCCATTTTCATTAAGGGTATTTTGGTAAACTTTCACCTTTTTTCAACTCTCCTAAAAAACCGTGAAAAATCAAATTGAGAACATCTTACATGGACGGAGGGAGTATAACTCTATGGGGATAAACATGCACGCTTACTCACGTGTTATATATCACCTTTATTTCGAAGCTTTGTCAACTAGCGTCTGTAGTCCAACGGTTAGGATAATTGCCTTCCAAGCAATAGACCCGGGTTCGACTCCCGGCAGACGCATATCCTTTTAGATAAGATTTCTTTCTGTTTTAATTTACTGATTTCTTTTTTGAAGAATAATAATTTATTGATACATGACTTTCCTCGGGATTTAGACTTTTTCATATTTTTCCCTCATAACAAAGAATATGCATTTGAGTTTACCTGCTGGTTTGATGCAGGCTTCGAGAAGCGGACAGGTAGGGCAACGTTCGGGGCAGTGTTTTTGTCTCATGAGGGCAGGTTTGTGGCGGCTATGAATGGTCCTCTCTTTGATGTATTATCCCCGTTGATGGCTGAAACATTAGCATGCAAGGAAACCTTGGTATGGTTGAAAGCTAGGGACACTTCCAATGTCCGTCTTTTCTCGGATTGCTCTACTCTTTGTCATTATCTGGGCTCGGCTTCTACTACTTCCCGAACTTACATTGGCATATATTTCCATGAGTGCAAAGTGTTACTTCGTACTTTTACTAATTGTTCAGTTTCGTTTGTTCCCCGCTCTTCAAACTCTCTAGCCCATCTTTTGACAATGGCCTATTCCCAACCCCAAACTATGTACTGGGACTCTGTTCCTCCTTTTTTTCCGTCTTTGATTAATCATATGTGAGTTTTTTCCTTCAAAAAAAAAGAATATGCATACATCTACATGCGAAGTATATACTCCATCCATCTTTGAAAGAATTAAAAATTAATGGAAGTAAAAAAAAATGTGGTGAAAATTAATTAAAAAGAAGGAGAATTTTTATGGATGGATTATGTACACAAGCCATGAAAAAAATTGCTTACCCATGCTAAGCGGAATATATCAAGCCCATTATTTGACCAGGCCCGTCCATTTATTTTTACTCCATACCTTGTCGCCTTCACATGCACCAATTTTCTTGGTTTCAATAAATTTAGGAATAATGTTAGAGGTATACCAAAATATACATCATTTGTATAACATCACGCCTATCACCACATATTTTTTATTATTAATTTTTATCTCTTCATATCTACATCCAAAAATGTATGGTGGGAGCAAAATGTTGGTGCATAAATGGGGTACATTTTTTGTGTACCACTAGCTTTTTTGTTAATTTAAATATAGTGTTAAAAAAATAGGTACTTCAAGTACTTCATTCATTTAAAAAAATTACATTATTCATTATTCAAAAGTATAAATGATAATATTTTTGTCAGATCTTATTTTTTAGAATTTTTAACATAGCTCTTAAATATGTAAGTTTTATTTTTAATTTCTATACTAATTTTAAATAAAATAAATTAAAAATACTTGAAATTTCACTCCATTTTGTATAAAGTGTACATTATTTTGGCACGGAAGGAGTATTTTATACAACTAAAATGTATTAGTATAGATGCTTATTTAAAGAAAAGTATTAGATGATTTGTGTTTTTGGTTGAGTTGATTTTTTGACATGGTATCAGAACCTTGTTGACTTAAAGGTCACAAGTTTGACCATCACCGTCATTCAATTTAAAAAAATCACATGAAAGGTTCGAACAAAAATAAATCTGGATTTCATGTGAAGTGACATATCAGAGTATAAAACATTTCCTGGCTCTACAACTAAACTTGGGCTTTTGTTTGGATTGCTTTCTTGACAACGTATCAAAGCCTTATTGATCAAAAGGTCACGAGTTCAGAACATACGATCACTCGATTTAAAATATAATAATATTCACGTGCAAGGCTTGACAAAAGTAAATCTTGTCAACATGTGAAGTGCGTGCTAGAGTATAAAACTTATCTTGGGCATACAATCACACTCCTACGTATTGTTTTGAGCGTGTTAAAGTGCATGTTAGAGAATCCTCCAATTATATTAAATTTATATTGTAATTAAAAATATATCTCACAATTTATACAATTTATGGTTAAACTGTATCACTGCTTAACTAAAAACGTCAAAACAGGGCAGGAAAGGTTTTAAGATCGAAGAGAGTATCTTTTAGAGAAGGAGGGAGTACTACTTAATTTGTACTCCCTCCGTCCCAAAAACTCTTTCTCTATTTTTTTGTCCCACGAAATCCTTTTTTACTCCGTATTAAGAAATCATTATTTTAACCTAATCATCACATCATACCTTTTTACTAATAATATATTTATCACCTCGTACTTTTGTGCATTACGTCAAAGGTATTTTTGGAAGTCAACACAAAAATATTTCTCTTATATTTTTTAAAATCTTTATGGGATGGAAGAAGTACTTCCTCCGTCCCTGAACATCTTCCCTTATTGACTTTTTGAAGATTTAAGGAAGAGATATTTTTGTGTTGACTTTCCAAAAGTATCTTTAATGTAATGGGTAAAAGTAAGATGTGATGTGGAGATTATTAGTAAAAACGTATGATATGATAGTTAGGGTATGAAAAAGTAGACGTAAGCAACTAGGGTGGCTGGGGTGGGGGGTTTTAGGGGAGGTTGGGGGGTAGGAACCGTCATTTTTACAAACGGGACACTGTAGGTACCCCAAACGAATTGGTGTAAGCAACTAGTGTATAAGTAACTAGTGTCATTTTAGACGCTCCCATATACTACGTATATATATATATATATATATATATATATATATATATATATATATATATATATATATATATATATATATATATATATATATACTCTGTATGTGTCATGAGAGTTTATTCTCCAAAAGGTGAAATCGCTCACCCCGGGCGCCCCTCACCCCCGACCCGACGGGTTAGTATACACCGCTTGGCCCTACCACTTGAAGGGTTTTTTGGGGAGGCATAGTTCCACTGGCGCAGAGTGGGACTCGAACTCGAGACCTCTCCTCTTGAAGGGTAACTCCACAACCAGCTGAGCTGAGTTGCTTCGTTTAAAACTGTGGTAGGGTAAACTTTTTATAGTGACTAGCCCCACCGCTTTCGCAGCCCCATACCCCAGAAACCCAACTTTGGCTTGGCCCTACAGGTTAGTATACACCGCTTGGCCCTACCACTTGAAGGGTTTTTTAGGCAGGCATAGTTTCACTGGCGCAGAGTGGGACTCGAACTCGAGACCTCTCCTCTGGAAGGATAACTCCACAACCAGCTGAGCTGAGCTGAGTTGCTTCGTTATGTCATGAGAGTTTATTTACTCATGATGGAATGGATGATTGTGGAAGTTTGCTTTCCCCAACCAAAGTCATAAGAGTAGTGATAGATTGATAGATACATATGTAAACAATGACATGTATGTAATTATTGTTGATCTTCTCATCTGATATAAGTATGATCTGATGCACCCATACATTGATGATGATGATGATGGGTGATTGATGATGATGATGATATGGCAACATAATCATGCATGCTTCACCACCTACGTCAGACATGAGTGCTCACTTTGGTGGAGATCAGAGATGAGCAGATCTATCCAAAAGTTATTTTTATTACATTTTTTTTAGAAAAGATCAGATTCGAACATTAAATAAAACTACTATCAGATCATACTAAATCAAATCCAATTACAATATTATCATGATATTGGAAAGATACAATTGAGATGAAAGAAAAAGTGTTAAAGAGCATCCCACGTCGAAAAAGTCTGAGAAAATTAATCGGTACATAAACTCTTAAGTTGAACTAACTAATTGATTGGATTCAATCTTTTAATGTAGTTCAACCTAAGTGTCTTATTACCCAATCTAGTTGTCCATACCCATCCTAATATAAATTCTATAAAAAAGAATTAAAATACTGGTGGATGCATAGTATTGGCAATAGTGAGACTTGTTCCACTGGATTTTCAAAAACATGTACGTAATGTAGATGTTCATGAATGGTAATATAAATACATTTTAACTCATTTTTGAGAAATAAAAATATGGGACTTCTGTTTTGCTATATTTTTAGTATTTTAATCTCACTTTAATCTTTTTCCCGTCATAAGTTGGCGAAAGATAAATGAACTTGATTAGAGGTATATAGTGAAAAAATTAAAATTTGAGTCACCACCTTTACTTATATTTCTATTACTTAATTATATGGTTTTCTCCGTTCTAAAACTATCTTTCTGTTGCGTTTTTTATATCGACTAAAGTTACTATCATTCAATTTAATAAGAAAATTAGTATAAAATTTTAAATAAAGTTTGTACATCTAAAAGTTATATCAAAAAATCTACAAAACTAAAAATGACATGATTATATATATTTCAAATAAGTAACGAAAATATATATTCTAACAAAGTAGATCAAATTTGACATAGTAAATAATAAATAGGATGATAGTGATGGATGCCTAATATTTTCCCTAGGACTGTAGATCGGTCCAGGTCAAAATATTGGTATCCGGACCTTATAATAGTGAGAAAATAATATGAAAAAAGTAATGGACTGGAATTGAAGGTATTACAAGCACGATAGGAACTCAAAACCGGTGATCCTTTCCTATATTCGGTCCCCTTGGGGATCGGAATATGCTTAAGGACCGCCGGAATATCTTTTATTATTACTCAAGTGCTTTCTCTCTCTATTACAACTTATTTTCTATCTTAGGTTCTCTCCCCATATATAGGAGCTCCCCAGCCACCATCTCATCAAAATATTCGCGGTGGTCGGGGAGGATATCCGGGCAATCCTCACTTTTCCCCGAAGCACACTCCTTAGCTTAACGTCGTCCACTTGAGGACAAATCTGTCTGTCCATTCCTTATTCTCTGTCTCTTGTCCAAGGAATAATTGTCCGTCCTTCCTTGAGAGGGGGCGGCTTACCCTAATTCCTCCGTAGGGTTCCTTTCCTCTTGGGTGGCCTGCTCCTAATGGGTTGGGGTTCAGCCATCCTTAAGCCCCAATCCAATTCCTTTCCCTCTCTAACCTCCTGGACCGTTTCCCTTCGCCAGCCCAGCACATTTTCTCTGGGCCGGGCCTTGCTTATAATGTACGGAACCTAAATTGGGTCAAGGCCCAATTTACTGATATTCTCTCGATGGGCTTGGTTCCCATGAGATAGTTTTAAGACCGAGGATGTATATTTGATAAAAAGAAGTATGGCCTCATTATAACTTAATTTTGTAAAAGTTGTTGTGTACGAATAAATTTTTAAATAGATTATGCACCAAATTTTATATAAGGGTTAGCTATATGCTTTTGGTCCCAGTGAAATGAGTATTTTTACTTTTAATCCCTCTAAAATATTTTTTTATCAAATCGTCTTTGTAAAATATTTTTTTTTTGCAAATGGTCCTCCCACCAACTTAGAGTTAGGGGCTGTTTGTTTCAGTCTCTTAATGGTTCAGATGTCTGAATGGTTCAGCACTTAATGATTCAGACTGTTTGTTTCAGCCTCTTAACCATTCAGATGTCTGAATGGTTAAGAGATTTGCCTCTGAATGGTTAAGTATTATACAGAGTCTGAATGGTTAAGACCTCTTATCTGAGTTGATCAGACATTTGCCTCTGAATAGTTAAGCAATATACTAGCTCTTAATGGTTCAGACCTCTTACTGGTTCAGCACTTAATGGTTCAGACCTCTTACTGGTTCAGCACTTACCTATTCAGAAGTTGCCAAACAGCCCCTTAATCTATTAGGGTTTAAAAAGACCAAAAGCAAAATAGTTTTGAATTTAAAATATTTTACAGTTACAAAAAACAAAAAACCACTAATTTTCTAGGGACTAAAAACAAATTCAATGTTAACACTAAAGTTAAAATAAATTATGAAAGGACTATTTGCAAAATCAAATATTCCGTCAATTCAAAAAAAATATTTTAGAAAGACTAAAAACAAAAAACGTTCATTTCAACGGGACTAAAAAGCGTTTTTTACCCTATATATAGTTCATAATTATTTTTTGTTTAAAAAAACTCTAATCACTTAGAGCACTGGTAATGGTCATGAAGCCCCGGGGCTTCAAACCGGGGCTTCAAACTTTCTCTCTCTGCCACGTCAGCTTTAACTTACACCCAAAATTCATTGGAAATGGTTTTGAAGCCCCGGGCTTCAAACTGGGGCTTCAAACCTTCATTTTTTACATTTTTAAATATACATCTTCTAAATTTAAATTAATTTATTATTTTAATGAATCGCAATGACACTATTGCATAAAAAAAATTAAATTCAATATAAAAAAAATCTTACATTCATTAAAAAAATTAAAAAAATTTTACATTCATTAAAAAAAATTACATAAAAAAACAACAGTACAAAAAAATCACTAATTATTCGAACGACTAAAGATATGCTCGATCAAATCTGCCGTTAGTGCATTGTGAATCTCTCGGCTTCGAATTTCTTGGCGGTTGCGTCGTTTCTTTTCTTCGGTGATTTCTTCGTACATAGGCACCTCCTCGTCCGGGTTGTATTGACAAATCGCAGACCCGTTATCCTCTATGATCATATTATGAAGAATAATACATGCGTACATGATATTCCTCATTTTTGTCTGAGAATAACATTTCGACGGACGATCTAGAATGTGTCACTTAGCTTTCAAGACCCCAAATGCTCGTTCAATATCTTTTCTCGCCGCCTCTTGAGCTGTTTTGTAGGTTTGGCGTTTAAGACCCATTGGTTCGGAGAGAGATTTGACAATCGTGGAATAATCCGGATATATTCCATCAGCCAAATAATATCCACGCTTGTAAAGCGTCCCTCTAAGCTCAAAAGAGGAGTCCGGTGCGGTCTCATTAACCCAATCGTCAAAAACAGGCGATTGATCGA